TTTTTTTGGTATAAAAATGAGGACTATATGTAAATTTTATTTTATATATTGGAAGATCATTTGGAATAACTCTTTGAAATATTGCTGTGCTGTTTGGGTGGATCAGCCCCGTGGCTTTGCCTTCAGAAGCTGGAGGGAGGGCGAGAACTGTGCCATTGAATAAATTTGGGGGAAATTCTTTGTCTGCTCTGTGATTCCACACTCACAGTGTGTCTACACCAACCTCCTGCTGCATAAAAAAACAACTCCAAGTGATTGTTGGAGGTGCTGCTGTCCCAAGGTGAATTGCTCTTCTTCAGGAAACATTTTTGTGGGATCAGGCAGTTCCTGGTGATCCTTGCACGCTCTGAAGGTTTGGGAAGATGCACCAGGAAGGATCATGCTGGAGGAACCCCACTGCTTTCCATGTGGCACGTGGAGGCTGCCATTCCTCATTTAGGAAATGTGGAACGCTCCATCAGCTGTATCTGACAGTCCATGGGCCAGCAGCTGCTGCCAGGACCCCAATTCCAGCCTTCTCCTGGCCCTTCTGCTCCTCCCAGCCTGTGCAAGTGGGTTTGGCCTCTTTTGGGATCTGCTCCCTGGAGGAAAGGCTAAAATGGGAAAGGATGAGCCAGGCTCAGGGCTGCTGCTCCTTGGAGAAAGCACGGATGAGGCACGGGGGAATTGTGCTGCTCCAAGGACAAGGAGTGGRCAGAGMTGATGGGARAGGGCTGAGGGTCCCTSCTGGGGTGGGYACAACCCYTGGATCCCYCACAGATCCCCYGTTCYTGATTCCWGCMGGGTCCYACAGGGATGGAGCCAGCTCTGATTGCACCATCCAACATCCAGCAGGGACAAAGGACAGGCTGTGCTGTTGGAAAACAACCCCCGAGGCTGGATGTGTGTGCAAACCCCTCTGCTTTCCACCCTAAAATGCAGCAGAGGCAGTGTGTGCTCCAGCAGAACTGCTGCTCCTTGGCTCAGGGCCGTGGGTGGGGATAAACCCGGGCAAAAAGGAAAAAGTGAAGCTCCAGGTGTGGAGCTGGGGATTCAGCCCCT